AAACTGTTTATTATTTATTGCTTGTAGTGAGGACAAAGAATCAGTAAAAATTATATATTTTAAATCAGATGTTGATTGAATGAACTCCAAAGCCTGAAGAATGGCCTGGAGTTCAGCTGTAAAGATGGAAGCAGCAGGTGGAAGGCGGACAGAAATGGTCTCAGATGGTGTCACGGTAGCCGAAGCTACCCGATCACCATCTTTCGAACCATCTGTATAAATTGGAGCATAATCACCATATTTAGACCTCAGCTCTCGAAAGAGAGACTGAAACACCGTAGAGCTAGTATCTCTCTTTTTATGTTGTGTAAGATGGAAATCAATCTTTGGGGGAGATATAGCCCACGGTGGAGTCCTAAAGAAAGGGGTATTCGCAATACTGTCCAGGCTGATACCAGCCTCAGACAAAAGGGGTTGTATGCGAATACCGAAAGGTGGAATAACTTTAGTCTTAAGCAGATATAGATGCTCATGATATGGTCTAAATGTGGTGTTAAATGAAATATGATTTGGTAAAGATGCTATTTTCGTAGCATACTGCAGGGCCAGTTTATCACGTCTGTTGTGCAGTGAGGGCTCATGCGCCTCGACGTATAAACTTTCCACTGGAGATGTACGAAATGCTCCTAAACTGATTCTAAGTCCTTGGTTGTGTATGGTGTCAAGCTCTTTGAGATAAGACTCGCGGGCAGACCCATACACAATACACCCATAATCGAGTTTTGATCTTATTAAAGCTCGATATAATCGGAGCAAGACCTTACGGTCTGCTCCCCAGTCAGTATTTGATAAGACTCTCAATATGTTGAGGGCTTTCAGACATTTCTTTTTTAGGCTTTTAATGTGGGGGATAAATGATAATTTCTTATCAAATATCAGCCCCAAGAATTTCGTTTCATCTACAACTGGAATGGGACTATCATCCAGTGTAAGTTCCGGATCAGGATGTAAACCTCTTCTTTGGCAGAAGTGCATGCACACAGTCTTGGATTTCGAAAATCGAAATCCATTGTCAGTTGCCCATCGTTGATTAGAATTCAAGCAAAGCTGCAATTGACGTTCGATTATCCGCATGTCTGTAGAACCATAGCACATCTGAAAGTCATCAACATAAAGAGCGCCGTTTGTACCTGATTTAAGGCACGCTGGGATGGTATTAATTTTTATTGCAAAGAGTGTTGGAGACAATATGCTTCCCTGAGGAACTCCCATTTCCTGAGGAAATGGGTCAGAGAATATTGATCCCAGGCGTACCTTAAATGACCTATCTTCCAGGAAATTTTTAATGAAGACAGGTAAGCGACCTCGTAGGCCGAGGTTATGGAGGTCGCGCATGATACCATGTTTCCACGTGGTATCATATGCTTTCTCCAGATCGAAAAATATTGCAACTAAATGTTGCTTCTGGATGAAAGCGTCCCTGACGAACGTTTCAAATCGAATGAGATGATCAAGAGTGCTCCTTTGGGACCGAAATCCACATTGGAGGTCTGTAATGAGGTTGTTGGACTCAAGGTACCAAACAAGCCTTCGATTGATCAATCTCTCCATGGTTTTGCAAATACAGCTAGTTAAAGCGATCGGACGATAGTTGTTAGGAATCGAATGATCTTTACCCGGTTTAGGGATGGGAATTATTGTGGCTTCATGCCACGAAGGAGGGAAATTGCCATCAACCCAAATCCGGTTAAAAAGATCTAATAAAATTAGGAGAGTTGGAAAAGGTAAATGTTTAAGAATTTGGTAATGAATTTCATCTGGACCAGTTGCAGTGTCACGAGCTCGTTTTAATGAATCCCGGAGCTCAGCAACAGAGAAATTTCCATTGTAGCATTCATCATTGCGGGACTTGAAATTAAGTCGCCTTTTCTCCTGTTGTGCTTTAATGCCCCGAAAGGCATCAGAGGAGAAATTGGATGATGAATTGAATGAGATACTACTGGCCAGCAATATCAGGAAGTGTTGTTAAGGTGGTATTATCAACATTTAGATGGTTAACTGATAATGCACTACTTTTACCTTTAATCCTACGAATCCTATCCCATACCGATTTGGATGTTGTACGGGAATTGATCCTAGAGACGTAACCTTGCCATGAAGACTTCTTTGCTTGACGTATGGTTCTACGGGCCTTAGCCCGGACCATCTGGTATGCCGCAATATTCTCCATGGAAGGATGGTTCTTTAATTGTCTCAAGATACGATCACGCTCTTTTAGAGCGGATTTGCAATCGTCATTATACCATGGTTTATTGAAACGTTTTGGTTTAGTCGTGGTTTGGGGAATCGCCTGCTCAGCTACATCTTGAAGAATTGAAGTGAATAAGGCCATGGGCTCATCTGCATCTTCTAACTCCTTTGCATCAAAAGAGAAGAGACACAGAGATTCAAATAGAGCCCAGTCAGCCTTATGCAACTTCCACCTCTGAGGTCTTTCGACCGGAGAGGGACCATTGTTTTCAATTACAATAGGAAAATGGTCGCTACCACACAGATCTTCATTTACCCTCCATGTAAAATCCTGAAACAGGACCGGAGATCTAAGGAAGAAAAAGAAGCTGTGGCAGGATGTAGATAAGTAGGCGAGTCATCATTTAATAAACACAAATTATTAATATTAATGAAGTCCGCTATTTGTTTACCTCTGTTGTTATCATCTGGACTGCCCCCGAGTGAATGATGACCATTGAAATCTCCCGTAATAATAAAAGGGAGAGGGAGTTGTGCAACAAGGTCATCAAGATCTCTGGGATTAAGATGTAAACTTGGTGGAAGATAAATAGAACAGAGTGTAATAGGAATATGCAAAGTCACCCTTACCGCAACTGCCTGTAAAGGCGAGATGAGGGTGACTTGACTCTGAGGGATATCTCCATTAAGAATAATAGAAACACCCCCATGAGCTCTACCATCACCAACTGCATGATGATGGTAACCAACAAAGTGTCTAAAAGACAAAGTGTCAGAATTCCTCAAGAATGTTTCCTGTAAACAAATAGCTAAAGGGTTGTAATTTTGAATTAAAAGTTGAACTTCATTAAAATTTGGTTTTAAACCACGACAATTCCATTGAATAATGGAATTGACCATTGTCAGGGATAGTTAATTTTTGGCGGCTTACTGACGGGGTCCTTATGGACATCCGCTACAGTAATGCCGTCCATCAGATCATCCCCATATCTATTATAGAGAGCAATAGGGTTTTGTGAACCCTTTTTCTCTCTATCACGCATCTTTGCCAATTTCTTTTCTTTCTTAGAAAGAACTTCTTGTGTAGGTTGAATACCCTTTGGCTGCGAACTTGACCCAGCAGAATTGGAATCAAGAGTAACAACTTCAGGGGGCAAGGGAGCGGGCTCCTTGCCGTTCTGGTTAGAAGTGTTGGGAATGGTCCCAACATCTTCAGTTTGAGGCAAGGAAGAGGAGTCCTTGCCAGACAAAGATTGAATAATTTTATCCGAGCTCTCACTCGTTTGAGAAGAGCTGGATACCCCTTTATTATGATCTGATGTTAAAAGTTTAGGCATTTTCTCTTTTCTGGGCCAGGTTAGGTCAGTCTGAACAGAAATTGATTTTGTAGAAACTTTTGCAGCACTTGCGAAAGATTTCCCTTGTTGTGCAATGGGAAAAATTGCTGTAAGCTCTACTTGCTTTCTAGCATCAAAATATGGTATTTTCCGTTCAGACATAATCTGTTGGATTCGTTTCTCTTTCTGCCAAATGGGACATTCGCGAGAGTAAGCAAAGTGCTTACCCTTGCAGTTAACACAACAAAAATCCGCCTGGCAGGTAGCACTCTCGTGGCCATCAAGACCACAACGAGCGCAGGTGTCTTTACCTCTGCAGACGGTTTTGCTGTGTCCAAACTTTTGGCATTTGTAACAGCGAAGAGGGTTGGAAATGTACGAATCAACAGGTATGTTAAGATAACCTGCCTTGAGAGTCTTTGGTATTTCGGGACGATTGAAAGTGAGGATATAGGTGCTTGTAGCAATCACCTTATCTCCCCGGCGTACGCTAATCCTTTTTACATGCGAGACGCCTTGAGAAGAAAGGTATTCCACCATTTCATCCTCACTGCTGCCTTCAAGATCCCGACAGCGAATAACTTGAATTTAATGACCTATGCGGCGACACCTTGATAGGAATGTCTGCTAAGGATGTGGATTTAAGCATCATGGTTGCATGCTGTTCCTTAGCACATTCTATCAGGAGTGTCCCGTTTTTTAGTTTTTTGATAGCCTTGGGCTCACCAGCCAAGCCAGCTATGCCCTTGGTTATCAAAAAGGGTGAAATTTTTGATAGGTCGGTAGAGGGACTCTCAATTAAGAGAAACCTCGGCCATGCCTTCATAATTTTTTGGGGGGTATTAAATAAATTCGAAACGTCCTCTGTATTAGGACATTTTTGTTTTTTATTTCTTTCTTTAATTGGTGTGGGGGTATTGGGGAATCCATAAATATGTTTTTTTAAATTCACCCCTCGTCGTCCCCCAGGTTACTTCCCTGCCTACCAGGGGGAGGACTAGCACGGATATCCGGTGCATGGCCTCAGGGCTCGACGAGGGGTATACTCAAGCCAGAAAGTATAAATACTTAGCCAACCTGATTGACCCAAGCCGCCGCTCTGTAGAATGTACTCAGGACACAAAGGTAAATTTGCTGAGTGAAAACAACAAAGCAATGGAATTGGAAAAAACGTACATTCTACAGAGCTAAAAACGACCAAAGCCGATTGATCAGAGTGGGCCACTCGGACCTCCCGTCTAGGTGAACCATGGGCCAAAGTAATGTGTTGCAGAGAAAGGGCTCGCAAACCAAATCCCCACTCAATTACCAGGATTCCACTCTCACCGACACGGGTCGCAACGTACGGCAAACACGTTGCCCCATTACGGGATCCTTTTAGTCGCCTTTTACGACACGCAGGACATACGAAGGGTATATTCTTATCACCCCCTACACCCCAGGGGGGAATTAATGGATATTCTTAATTCTTACCTTTCTCTTCTGCGCTGAAACTGAAGCCGTTGTTAATTTGAAATAAATCTTGACGTCACCAATCAGTTTTCTAGGAAACAACTTGAGCTACTGCGATTAAATGTGGGCATACCATTATTTCCACCGTGTTTGAACTTTTGGGAGAGTCTATTTTTCGGCGTGTTGAGTAGGTCGGAAATGTACACCCTTCAAATGTTAGGGTTAATTAAGCCCACTCCAGAATTCCCAATAGAAGAAATTTCCACATTAAAATAAACGCATCAACCGAAATGACCTAGTTTGTGTCGAGTGGACGTTAAACCCCATTTCTCTCTCTCTCTTAAATATAATAGAAATTCCAAGAACGAGGCTGCAATAGGCCGATTTAGCTCTTGTATATATAATGTATGTTTAAGATAGTCTAGTTCATTCATTATTATTATGCAGCTGACACAGATTGGTTTCTTAGAAAGCTGAAAATACATTTCGTGGAAAACCAGTTACGGAGTGAATAACATTAGTGGGAGAGACTATGGCGAGGTTGACAGAGAGCCGAGGCCCTTGAGTCTAGTCCAATAGGGTATCCCTGCTTATAAGGGTCAGTGGGTATGGAGGGGGCGGGGGCAGAGCATGTTGCTTTCTAAATTATTTTGATTCTGTCTTAATTCATAAAAAATAATAGGGGATAGCATTTCTTTGTTTTGTTGTGAAATGACCGGTATTTATAATTTTTATTGCAGAATAGCAAATACGCGGTATGTGAACAAGTCCAGATCATCAATCCTCAGTATTTCTTTTTTTCGGCGTTCGTACTTTCTGGGTGTCGATAACGTTATAAACCTTACTGTCTGTTAAGCCAAGATAACAACTAACGTTATAAACCTTACAGTCTGTTAGGCCAAGATAACAACTAACGTTATAAACCTTACAGTCTGTTAGGCCGAGATAATAAATAACTGAGTTTACAGTTACACAGAGAAGACATCTATAAAGAACTAGGACTGTCTACAAATTATGATTTCAAAGCCCGGTACAAAGAAGACTTCAACCGAATACTGTGAGTAATCTTGTACATTGATTCTAATTTCGTTCTACAAATTTGTTTGTATTTCCCGGAAATAAATAAATCAGTAGACTAGATTATCAGATAATAACCCCGTCTACTTAACCTGCCTTCCTGTATGGGTTAATCACGTGACATGAATGATAGCGATAGGCCGACCCAAAATTTTTATTTTACTTTTGCGTGAAAAAAAAGATGAAAAAAAGTTGAATGATAGCAATAGGCCGACAAATATTTTTATTTTGCGTTTCACTTTTACTTTTGTTTTACATTTCAAATTACTTTTAAAAATGATTTTAGTTTTCATATGTGTTTTAATTTTAATTTACATTCTGGTTTTACTTTTGATTTAACTTTTACTTTTGATTTAATTTTTACTTTTGATTTAACTTTTACTTTTGATTTACTTTTGATTTAACTTTTACTTTTGATTTAACTTTTACTTTAATTTTTACTTTTGATTTTACTTTTGCTTTTATTTTTACTTTTGTTTCTATTTTACTTTGGATTTTTACTTTGTTTTTCATTTTCATTTCGTTTTATTTGCTTTAACTTTTACTTTTGATTTAACTTTTACTTTAATTTTTACTTTTGATTTTACTTTTGCTTTTATTTTTACTTTTGTTTCTATTTTACTTTGGATTTTTACTTTGTTTTTCATTTTCATTTCGTTTTATTTGCTTTTTAAAGAAATTTTGTTAAATTCCTGAATTATAACGATATGCCAGAATACACTACCCACCCGTTCGAAAGGCGATCGTCCTCGATCGAGCTTTAATCATAATAATAAAACGAACTTTTAATGTACAAAACATTCGAACATTCTCATTCAAAGTCAACTTAAAATGTTCAAAATCCCTCATTTAATCACATAATCTCAAACATATACTATTCAAAAAAAGTAGGGGATATTTGATTTTTAAGTGTTATTAAAGTCACCTAATGAAACTGACGAAGAAACAAATGACAAAATGAAATGAAGTTCACATTCATCGATTTATTCCAAATGATCGTTAGACTAAGTAAGGCACAGACTGACCATTATAAGGGTAAAATGATACCCGGGGTCAAACAGCAAAGTTACCACAGCATCACAACCAAGTCAGTAACGGGTAAATCCTCCTCTGTTTGCCAAACAAGCATTGATCCGACGTGGCATACTCCTAATGAGACGTCTAAGGTCATTTTGGTCCAGATTGTCCCAGACATGCTCGATGGGGGAGAGGTCGGGACTCAGTGCTGGCCAAGGTAATGTGGTGATGTTCTGTTGTTGGAGGTAACCTGTAACGATCCTGGCCCTGTGACATCTTGCGTTGTCATCCTGGAAGATGAAACGGCGGCCATGACGTCGTGCGAACGGCACAACATGGACTGCCAAGATGTTTTCCCGGTAGTACTGGCCTGTAACACGCCCTGCAACAACATGTAAAGCCGTTCTTCCAGCAACAGTGATGCCTCCCCACACCATAACAGAACCACCCCCAAATCGATCATGTCTGATGACGTTAACGTCTTGGAAGCGCTCGTTTCGACGACGCCACACCTTCCTACGTCTGTCCAAAAAATCAACAGTGAACCTTGACTCATCTGAAAACATCACATTGCTCCAGCGTCGATTATCCCAGTGTTGACGATCCCTACACCAACGACGTCTTGCCTGAATGTGATGATCTCTCAAACAAGGGATCACGCGAGGACGTCGGGCGCGAAGGTGACCCCTATGCAGTCGAATCCGAATCGTCTGGCCACTCACTCTCACACCAGTGTCTGTTTAAAGACGAGCGCTGATCTGATTTGCTGTGATGACACGATTTCTCAAGGCCAAGGTACGGATAAATCGATCCTGGGCTTGAGTTGTCGCCCTTGGTCGACCTGAGCGTGGTCTGTCCTGTACAGATTGTGTATCACGGTATCTGGACCATAGCCTGCTTATGACAGACTGAGAAACATTCATCGTCCGCGCCACAACCGCCTGTGTTGTGCCGATCTGTAGCATGCCAAGGGCACGTAACCTTTCATTTTGGGTAAGCCGACGCATATCAAAATTTGTTTTCTGGTCACTAAAACAATTAAACTGATGTTTCCACCCTGGAATTCAATGCCACAATGACTGTAACATTCAAAGTCAGAGTCGTGCAAATCTTGGGTTGGACCCCCATGATGATCCCAAGCATCACCTGCATTCCATGCGGTAGCTATTGGTGCGTTTAGGCGTCACATGTAACTGGAAATGTTTCTTCTGTTAGGTTCTACTCCTTGTCACGTACAACCCGGGAATCGAAACCACGCCAATTGACTCAATGACAGACCTAATGATGCAGCGCGCGCACGCTATCCATTCGGTCACCTACTCACCGCCCCATATACAGTCAGTACATAGGAATCCAGAATTAATAGTATCTATTTATCAATGATAGATTTATATTCATAAATTCATTGTTTAATTTGTCTTTATCTATTTTGCGTTAAACGAATTAATCATTACAAAAGAAATATTCATTTATTTAGTTTAATGTATAAAATACATCCTGCATCCAGCAGGAATCGTCACCCTTCTAGTTACACGCCTCGTTTGACTTAATGTGACACCCTTTCGACTGACAGTCATTCGTCTGGTAATACCAGCTGTGTTCTTTGTATGATTTCGCTGTACAGCTCCTCTTGTCGTGTTTGATAGCCTGATTTGTCTGGTAAGTTTCTTTGGAATTTTTCTGGACTGAAAGAAAAAGGAAGGAATTAATTTAAGGCTTAAGATATTAAAGTTGTATAAAAAGAGATAATAAAAAAAATTATTTTATACTGAGCGAAGTTACGAACGTTTGAAGAATAGAATGGTCTCGATTGTCAATGCGCTACCGTTGTTACGATGATTAACAAAGTCTCGATTATCCATTTTTAAGTTTAATTTTTAAATGGCGATCGTGTTTCAATCCGTTCAAAATCACAAACAACCGATGATCTAGAGAGTTGATTATTATAATGCTAATAAATTTCAAATAATTTATATAACTTGGGGCCAAAAGCAAGATCTGCAATAAGCAGATTTCGCTCTTACATAATGCATCTTGACGAAATTTGTTAATGGGAGGCAACTCTGATTGGTGATGCGGAACAGTAATCCAAGGATCAAGATATAAAAGAAGCAAAGTGAGAGAGAGAGAGAGATGGGGTTTAACGTCCACTCGACACAAACTAGGTAATTTCGGGACTAACTTATGGTTTATTTTTTTTATTTCAATAATTCGCTTGCGTGTGGAGGTCTTTAGTTGTGGGAGGAAACCAGAGATCCCGGAGAAAACCCACGAGATTGGACAGGCGACTCTTTTCCTTGTCACATACAACCGGGGATTCGAAATTACGCCAGTTTACTCAATGACAGGCCTTATGATACAGCACACACGTGCTAACCATTCGGCCATGCAACACCCCAAAGAAGCAAATATAATAATGAATAATAACTTCTCCTAGCGACTGTTCTATCAGATACTATATAATAACTTACTCGTTTGGTAACACCGGCAATTGGCTTAGTTTTAGTTTTCTTCATAACTTTATGTGTTGGTCTGAAAAAAAAAAGATTGGATTAATTTAGGGATTAAAATAATAAAGAAAGGAGTTAAAATATTTCTAGTGGTTGTACTGAAATGTGAAGAATGTCAAAACTCCTCTGGGCGATTCGCAGACTACACATAATCTAACGACAAAAGAAACGACTTATTTCTGTCCGATAGGTTGCCAGGTAAAGAAACATACGCCCACGGCAGCCAATCATCCCAGAGTCGACATGGGTTGTCGCACATTTATTCTGTTGAAGGTAACAGGGGCCGTGACAAGGCACTGATATCAATCTCTTACAGATGGTATGATAACGTTTGTCGTTAGAGCGTTCACAGGGTGAAAGGAGGGCCTTAACGGTAGAAGTTATTAACAGAAATTGCAGAAATTCAATAGTCATTATTAATATAATAGTTATACAGATCGGTTGATAACTTTCATAAAATTTAGTTGAATTTCCTTTAAGGTCATTAGTGACATCATCAACTAAGCGTTTGGAGTTTTCTACATGTATATAATGTCCAGTCAAATTTTTTATTTTATTATTGCTTAACAAATACGAGAGAAGCCTAGTAGTAGATTCCAGAGACGTGTGTCATGCGCAGTATATAGGAATCAAAAATAACTAGCATATATTTATCAATGATAGATTTATATTTATATTGTTTAATTTTTCTTTGTTATTTATTTTGCGCGAAATTCATTATTCATTACAAAAGTAAATTTCCATATTGACTGTTTAATATTTATTTTTTCTGTGTATTTTGCATTAAACGCATTAATCATTACAAACTCATAAAATACCTGTTGCATCCAGCAGGAATCGTCAACCTTCTGGTTACACGCCTTGTTAGACTTAATGTGACACCCTTTCGACTGACAGTCATTCGTCTGGTAATACCAGCAGTGTTCTTTGTATGATTTCGCTGTACAGCTCCTCTTGTTGTGTTTGATAGCCTGATTTGGCTGGCAACTTTCTTTGGAATTTTTCTGGGCTGAAGGAAAAAGAAGGGATTAATTTAATTTATTCAGGATGCATTGTGTAAAATTAAGATAAAGAGCTGATAATTCTTGCTATTTTAGTTTAAAAATAGATAATGAAAAATGAATAGGATTAAAATTTCAATCAAATTATTTCATACTGTGCGAAGTTATGAACATTTAAAAAATAGCGTAGTCCAGATTGTCATTGCTACCGTTGTTACAATGTCTCGATTATCCAGATTGTCATTGCTACCGTTGTTACAATGTCTCGATTATCCAGATTGTCATTGCTACCGTTGTTACAATGTCTCGATTATCCATTTTTAAATTAAATTATCAAATGGTGATCGAGATTCAATCCGTTCAAAATCACAACCAAACGGTGATCTAGAGCGTTGATTATAGGCTTGTGATGTGAATAAATGATTGATTAATAATTCATAAAACATTTGAATCCTAATTCAAGATCTCTATATATAAATTGGCAGACCTAGCTCTTACATAATGCATCTTCGCAAATCTCAAGGACAACTCTGATAGACGATTGCTTTAGATCTTCCCCAATCACCCTTTTTAATACCATAAAAAGATTTTAAATCATGTATAAATAATTTTTTATTTATGACCGCTGGCAACGATCTTGGGATCTTGCAGGAACAAATAAACTTCATCACATTAAGCCTCTCCTAGCAGATTGGCCCAACTCTTATTGAACCAACAGGAGGGATGAAGTTGTTTTGTGTCGCATTGGTCATACCTTTTTAACTCAATATTTTCATTTTGAAGCGAGAGCCTCAACCGGAATGTGTTCACTGTCATGTTCCTTTGACAGTAAAACACATCATGATTGAGTGCAAACATCTCAAGTATATTAGATCTAAATACTACCGTTGCCAGTCATTACGTCAGCTATTTGCTCAACCGGAGCTATATGATAAAGTGCTAACATTTTTAAAAGAGACAAACTTTTATTCTCAATTTAAATTGAATATATTTAATCATGTATATCTTTTTAAATATTTATATATGTAAAAGATTTGTTATATATTTTTTTAATTAATATATTTTCTGTGATATTTGTTGTTATTTACATATATAAATTCATTTATGTGATATCGTTTTAATTTGTCTCGTTAGATTCACCATATGTTTGGCGCGATATAGCCCGGTTGGAGCTGACGTGCCATAAAACCATATTTCTTTCTTTCTTTCTTTCTGATAGGTGATACAGTAATGTATAAAACGTTCTTGTCGTGACAGTCCTATCAGATGATATATTATTATAACTTACCCGCTTAGCAACACGACCCGTTGTCTTAGTTTTTTTAGTTTTATACTTCTTGATAGTTCCACGACAGCCTGATTTGGCTGTGTGTACTGTACTTTTTGGCCTTTTAACCAGTTTCAACATTTTCCTGGAATGAAATAGAAATACTAGATTCAATTAGGCATGAAAATATGTAAAACCCAGAGCCAAATAATAACTGTCTTCTGTAAACCCGATGCTTCTCACCAAAAACATCTGTTAAGAACTGTAACGTCTATCACGATCACAGTGTCTTCGGAAAAGGGCACAAAGGGTCGTAGAACGATGAAAATCTTTTTAAAAAGATTCGCCCACTAAAAATAGATTTTTTTGGAAACAATTAGAACAACTTCTGCAAGTATCGAGGAAGAGGAGAAGGCTAGAACAGAGACAGTCTAGCACACTGACTTTACAGGAACAGTGAATGGTACAGGTATATGCATAATGTGGCTTATCAAAATATTTGGTGTTCTGCTTCGGTCACTTCCTGCGTCGCGCGTCGCCTTTTTTTTTAATGTTAAGCAATGGAGAAAAAAAAGCGACATCGCCCTTTATAAAGGACACTACACCATTCAATGATTATGGATTGAGTGTCTAGGTTAACTAGTGCAGAAGTGAACGCAACCTTAGATTCTTTCAACATCGATCTTAATCTGATTTCTTCAAGGATGCTTATAATTCGTCGTAGGATATCAAAAAAAAATTAAAATAAAATTATATTCTCGTATTAATTTTGTATGTAAAGGAATATTCATGCTACACTTGAGAACCAATAAAACAACTGTAAACCATACCCACATCGTTATCAGTACCCAGCCATTGTTTGTTTAGCTATAGTGTATGATCTACAAAGTGCACGAGGTCACTCATTCACACTAGAGTTTGCGATTTTAAGTTTAGAATAGAACTTTAAAATAATAATATAGCACATAAACTAGATATTATAGAAATGTCTTGTTATATAAAGGATATTTCTGGCAGTCCCTTGTGTCCAATATAGATTACTGTCCAATGCAACGGCAAATAAACTGCAAATGATTTCTGCTGGTGTACATGTGCATTTCATCACCAAAACTATAAACAATATTCGTTCAGAAAAAGCGACACGAGGGGCGACGCGTCACTTTTTCAAGGGGGTGTTAAAAAGTCTACGTCGCCTTTTTTCTCTAAAGCTTAACGTTGGAAAAGGCGACGTACGACGCGAATACTGCAGGTATGTTTTAACGTGTAGGTAGATAGAGAATCTCCTATACTCGTCTTTTATGGTATCAAAAAATATCAACACTCGTTGATAAAGCCGAGGTTTTTTTTACTTTATCAACGAGTGTTGATATCGCAGTAGATTATGAAATATATCACACAAGCGATATCTACTGTAGAATGTATTATTGGGTGATAAAACAGTATTAACCTCTCCTATAAGTATTAATCCATCCTATATGAATGATACAGGTATGTTAAAACATGTAGGGAGAACAGTATTAACCTATCCTATATGAATGATATAGGTATATACATACCGCTGTTGATAGAGTTGGTTCCTGAACGTCTACTTCCACTAAAGTGATACCACAGTCATACTGAGTTGTCGCCGTCGCGCAATCGTCTTATATAGTGTCGCCCACACTAAAAATAGATTTTCCTGGAAACAAATGAAATTCATGCAATAATGGTGATTTGTATGGAAGCCTATTACGGCCATTTCATAATCTCCACTTCAAGCCGCGAGAAATCGAGGGCGAGTGAGCGAGAACGCGAGAAAACAGATCGAGAATGCGAGGATCTCGCCCCGAGGACACGAGATTATTTTTAGCCCGACTTCTCGCTCCATCTTCCTTCGACTTCTCGCTCCTCCGCGTTCTCGCCTTTGAAAACCCTCGCGGCGAGAAGCCGAGACTATGAAATGGCCGCAATAGGCTTCCATAGATTTGGGTTTTCACTATTCTGTATGACAAACCAAATGGGTCAAATTTGACTATCTTAACTGCGTCATCATTTATTCAGAATTTTCTGGAAACAAGTTGAATAACTTATGCAAGCATAGGTGACCCGCTTAATGATTTGGGTTTTCCATATTCAATATGACAAACCAAACTTGTCAAATTTGATAATCGTAACTGCGTCATCATTTATTCAGAATTTTCTGGAAACAAGCAGAGTAACATATGCAATCATAGGTGACCCACTTAATGACTTTTAAAAATTAGGTTTGCACTGTTCAATATGACAAACCAAATGTGTAAAAAAAAATTATCTTAACTGCGTCATCATTCAAAACCAGCATTATGTTCACACTTGAACCAACATTTTTCCATGAACGAATACAGGTTTCCCACGCTAATCTATTATGTTGTTTTTTCAAATGTTTGTGTTAATTATGTTATCTTCAAGCGGAAATTTCAAATTTTCAAGTTATATTTTTAAAATGTATTGAAATAAAGCCTTAAAATAGATGGTATCCATAAACAGTCCTACCTTGTTAAAAAATAATCCTATTAATCCTATAATTCGCTATTGCCAGCTGAGAAATTGGCAAAAATATCATTTTTAACTTCAAATTCCAACGTTGGAAAATGGCTGCCCCGTGTTGTCAATAGCAAAACAGGGGAGGTAATTGTGTTGTTATTTCCTGTGTCATAGATTTTTAAGGGTGGGAAATAATGCCCATGGTCGTATAATAGTGAGTTGATAACCTATTGAGCAAAAGACATAGAAATAATTATGTTTTGACTTTCTTAGAAAATTTGAAATTCTCGCTTTAAGGCTTATAAACACCGATTTTGTTTGAAGTACCAATATAATCAAACTGATTAATATACAGATCTATATTTCGTTTCGTTTTTTTTTAATACTACATGAAGATCTGACAAGTTATAGTGGGAGTTCACGTCAGGCGTCAAACTAGTGGCTTTTGACCCTATGACGTCAGACATTGATTAATCAATTAGCGTTGACGTTTCCAGGGATATACTCTCAGTTCCACGCAGAGAACGCCAAGAAGTCGCCGTAACAGACCGTTTCATTGGCTAATTCCTCACATCAATAAGACAAGTAAAACGAAATTTTGAACTACAAAAAACGAAACGAAATAGGTTCTGTGTTTTAATCAGATTGCAATATAACAAAAATATGTTTAATTTTATCGACCATTTACATTTTTATTGCTGTGAGTGGTTCTGTAGGTAGGGGTTCCAGTGTACTGCTTTGTCCGGATTTCTTCCCGGGACTAGCCAGAAAGAGGACCTCTGACCTGCAGAACATTTATAAGGTTTCGATAGAGCTCCTTCGTAGGACTACCCGAAAAAATCACAGTAAATTTGAAAAATATTTCGAAAACTCTGACCTGTACGTAGAGTTTTTACAGGATTTCTGTGCATAACGTCTAAGATTAGAAAGGTGTTTTTCTGGTTTATTTTAAGCTTTTGGGTTTGCCCTATTCTATTCTTATTGTATGAGTGTCGTATCTTGTCTTTGTTGGATTTTCCGTTACAAAATAACTGCAAATATTAAACCTTACAGTTCAAGTTTATCGACACATTTAAGTCCAGCAAACAATTGGTCGACATGAACTACTACTCCAAGAGTCAGTGACGAAAGGTGACTGTCTTATAAGTAATAGGTTAGGTCACAATAGGGCGTTGGATAGCCAAATGGTTAGCACGTGTTCGCTGTATCATAAGGTCTGTCATTGAGTCAACTGGCGTGGTTTCGATTTCCTGGTTGTACGTGACAAGGAGTAGGGTCGCCTGTCCAGCCTCGTGGGTTTTCTCCGGGTCCTCTGGTATCCTCCCACTACTAAAGACCCCTACGCGCAAGCGAATTAAGTTGAACCATGTGTTAGTCCCGAAATGACCTAGTTTGTGTCGAGTGGACGTTAAACCCCTCTCTCTCTCTCTCTCTCTCTCTCTCCCGTTCGTTAGATTATTATCGCTCATTATCGTAGCAACGTTACTTGTTAATCGAGACTCAGTCTCGCTTCTCCATTTTTAAATTAAATCGTTAAATGGTGATCGTATTTCAATCCGTTTACATCTGTGCCATCCGATGATCTAAAGAGTTGATTGTAGGCTTGCCATGTGTTCATTCGACACAAGCTTCTTATTCCAGACTTGAATCATTATCGCCCTTTATTTTTGGCAATCAATTTTATCGCGACATTTTACAGCTACGGTTTATCACAGATGGAGTTTAACTCATTATTGATTTCCTCACTCAAACATTTGCGGTCCTTGGTGGCTCATTGAGTAAGACAGGGGCTCGTTAGCCTGAAGGTCTCGGATGTTGGCCGAGAAAATTCCGTGGGATTTCCCGGTGTGGTTTCTCCTTGTCATTGGTGCAGGAGGTGGGGCCAGACAGGGACAGCTGTCTTGTCGTTCGGATGGGACGTAAACCCGAGGTCTCTTATACACATTGGCGTGCGCCTAAAAGAACCCTTGGCAATTGGAATTGGGTATGAGAGTAGGTCGTAGTGCCACCGCCGGGTAAAATTTTCCAAATAGCACATCCAGTCGGTGCAGAAAAGTCGGACGTTAAACACGGTTTTATTTCATTGTACCCCAAATTTGGAAGCGAAATTGTTCTTGAAGTTGTTCTTGCCGTGAATAGATCAGTACAGATATGCAGGACAAGGTGGGGGTGGAAAAAGAGATCAGAATTAACACTCGTCAACTGGAAAGTGAAATACAGTTGGAATCAATTAAGGGGAGTTAACTATTGTCGAGTCCCAATATGGATTTGAACCACTAATTGTTTAACGTCCATTCGACACAAACTAAGACATTTATTTCAATATTTCAATAATTCGCATGCACTTATGGTTCTTTAGCAGTGGGAGGAAACTGGACGACCCAGAGTATACCCACGAGGTTGGGCAGACAGATTCATTGTCACGTACAAGCAGGTGATTGCAACCACGCCACTTGACTCCATGTCAGCGTTTGACCTTTCGACCGTCTAACATTTCTTATTTCATATCCTAACACCATGACTTTCTGGCTAAATTTGAATAATTTCTAACTAAACTATAGATGTTTTAAATGTTTGTGAATTGCGGGGAGGGGGGGGGGGGGCTAGTGGTTTAGGGTCTCAAAGTTTATGATTGAGACAAGTCGTGGCTTGGTTTCGAATCCCCGCTTGGGCGTGGCAAGGAATAGGGTCGAGTGCCCAACCTTGGGGTTTTTCTGCGGGTTTCTATGGTTTCTTCCCACTGCTAAAGATCCCTACACGCTAGAGAATTATTGAATTGTCCTGAAATGACCTACATTGTGTCGAGTGGACGTTAAACTCTCTCTCTCTCTCTCTCTCTCTCTCTCTCTCTCTCTCTCTCTCTCTCTCTCTCTCTCTCTCCACACACACACTAACTAAATCACTGTAAATAATAACCATTGCTATAATATATCAATCATCATCATCGACCGCCATTTGTGTCTAAATTAAGACACCACAACCAAACTATATCAAAGCATATCAATGACAAAAGCTGATCGAAATGTATCAAAACAAGTCGCCTCAATTATTCTTGAAATTGACAATAATTTTTGTCATTTAGATACTCTGACAATTTAATATAAAAATACATGTAGCAATCAATTCTACTGACCCTACAACCAAGTCCCATGTGCACATTGGTGTGCACATAAAACAACCCTTGGCAGTTGAAATTCGACATAAGAGAAGGCCATAGCGCCGCAGGCCGGGTAAAATTTCGCTCATAACACACTGTAGGGCGTATGCCTGTCTTCGTGAGGCCAGTCGGAGCGGAACAGAAGGAGGTTAAACCCCTTTTCATTTGATCTTGCTTTGCCACGCGTTAAACCCCATTTCATTCTAGCCGAATGGTTAGCACGCGCGCGCTGTATCATGCGGCCTGTCATTGAGTCAACTTGTTGGGGGTTCGCTTCTCCGGTTGTACGGGACAAGGAGTAGGGTCGCCTGTCCAACCTCGTGGGTTTTCTCCTGGTCCTCCGGTTTCCTCCAACAGCTAAAGACCCCTACGCGTAAGCGAATTATTGAAATAAAATTGAACCATGTGTTAGTCCCGAAATTACCTAGTTTGTGTCGAGTGGACGTTAAACCCTCTCTCTCTCTCTCTCTCTCTCTCTCTCTCTCTCTCATTTTAACTTGCTTTGCCACACGTTTAACCCCATTTTATTTGATCTTATTTTGCCACACGTTAAACAACATTTTATTTCACATCGATTATACGTTAGTGTGATAGTCGTTTTAATTGCATTTCTCTGTTGACCCCACCAACATGACAGTCAGGTATATAATTATAATATAATCTCAATTTGCTATTCTCTGATTAGTAAATACACAACATAGTTGTCCATCAATATTATCATCTACATTTGATTAATTTGATATTTAGTTGATTTGGGTTCATCTTCTAAATGGAATCTTTCGGACTCCTAAATGCCGTAAAAGATCGATGTATTACAATAGTAAATGCATATTAAAGAGCACAATGACCATATAAAGTCACATGTGCTTAAAGCCATTGTTTACTACATACACGTCAATCCAATCTGATTAAAATACAGTTTGTTTAAGAAAGAAGCCATGACAGTTCAAACATTTTAATAAAAACAGAGTTAACTCCCCTGATGTGATGCACTACATTAATAATAGGCCTACATACAGTGATGCACAATACAATTATATAATACTGGGAACAATATCTAAATATTGATATTTTAACACAGTTCTATATTTCGTTTCGTTTTTTTTTATATTTTCGATCGCCTACACTACAGGAAGATCTGACCAATTATAGTGGGAGGTCGCGTCAGGGGTCATATGGGCGACTTTTAACCCTATGACGTCAGACATTGATTAATCAATCAGCGTTGACGTTTCTAGGGGTTTGCCCATAGTTCCGTACAGAGCACGCCAAGAACTTGCCGTCGTAACAGACCGTTTCATTGGCTAATTTCTCATATCAACTAGAACGCCCGAACTCTTCCAGATCCTAGTGTTGTGAAGTCAAGTAAAACGAAATTTTGAACTATAAAAAAACGAAACGAAATAGGGTGTGTGTTTTAATCAGACTGACGTTAATCTAAATTCGCTCCTAATCTTCCCTCAAAGTTCCAAGTTGCCAACGAAAACACGCCTAATCGTCCTAGACGCCAGAGACATCACAGTGCCCAAATGTTTATTAGAAATGTTTATTCCTCGGATGCATACATTCCGACTAAAATTTTACTACCCGTGTATGAGTTTAAGGAGCTAAATCGCTAATATTTGGGACCTAGGAATTGAACCAAATGGATCGTAGCGCATATAATAATGTAATCTGATTGTATATAAACTGATTTACATTCAATTGTTTCCGATTTGACTCTAATTTCAAATCATTTATGTCCAGCGAGATACGGTACGAGTCTCAACCGAATGGCAATTTCTAGCGTCTGGTTATTCCAGTTTATTGCGCATACTCTCAAGATAAGATATGGCGTCACCGTTTGACATGAGTTGTTGAATATGTCTAGCCTCGTTCGTTCTGGTCACTTGTTACAAATGAAGCTGAAATGCATTATGGTACACGATTCGTGTACCAATGGTAAAACGTTTATTTTGTCTTAAAATTTAATATTGAATATCAGAAGCCTACCTTTTCCCGGTAAGATTACAACATCAATGTTGATTTGAATTGACAAATAATTCGTGTTTTCAACTTGTAAGATGATATTGAGTTAGAGACAAAGCTACTTTTAATATTAAATACTAGTTAACAGTTTAAAATTCAATTTTACTATTATTACAGAAGTTGACAACAGATATTAGTTAACAGTTTAAAATAACACTTTACTATTACTACAGACGTTGACAACAATTAAAAGTTAACAGTTTAAAAATAACATTTCGCTATCAGTCAATAATAACTATTTTAAATTAACACGTACAGATACTAGTAAACAGTTTTTATTAACACAGTTAGTGAGTTGAAACAGATACTACTGTTAAAACAGTTTAAATTAACACATTTAGTGAGTTGAAAACAGATACTAGTAAACAGTTTAAATTACGAGTTGAATTATTATGAGTTGACAACAAATAACAATGAACAGTTTAAATTATCATTCATTTTACTCCGAGTTTACGAGTTCATAGTAAACAGAAAGGGTTCGTGGAATCAATCCAATGACCATTCGAATCTTTCTCCCTTTGCGAGTCTAATTTATTTTGTGGGACTAAACACCCTTTTAACACGAAGCCAAAAAGATTGAAATATATTTTTGCATTGTCGCCTAAATTGGGCACTATATATAGCATATAATAGGGGATTGGTAGCATTATTTAAAAAATATAAATGATACAAAGTATGTATGACAGCGACCTCTACTTTGTTAAGACGGCTGTCTAAATCGGGAATGTATAAATAGCACATGTTTATCACCCAAAATGGCAACCATGATACGATGAAAAGCCCAGTGATCAGAAACAAAATTTTCGCAATAAAAATCTGTCTCCTGTGATTTGGTGATTTGAAATGATATGAGAGGTCGCTTGTAACTTGGTTGGTGCCGTTTACTCGATTTTCGTGTGTCTTCTTTGTAAGACTTGTGGATATTTTCGGTTCACCCGTTTTTGTCTCGGGGGAATAAAACAAATCGACCTCTTCGATATCGCCGATTGGAGATTCACTATGCAGTTGACGCGTTTGCCTCTCTTTTGTACTTGTACTTTGAGTTTGCGCAAGAGTTTCGGCCATCTTGTTTTCCCGCCTTTGCGTCTCTTTTGTACTTGCACATTGAGTTTGCGCAAGAGTTTCCGCCATCTTGTTTTCCCGCCTTTGCGTCTGTTTTGTACTTGCACTTCGAGTTTGCGCAAGAGTTTCTACCATCTTGTTTTCCCGGCTTTGCGTCTGCTTTGTACTTGCACTTCGAGTTTGCGCAAGAGTTTCCCGATCTTCCGCCGTCTGTGGTAGATTCCTTGATTTCATTGGTGCCACTTTCATAATTTTTCTTCGTGAAACATTTGGTCTACCATTTAGCACCATGTAAATTTTTCCATAACATATTGTGGTTATAATAATAAGGGCGATAAATATAGCAATGAAAACAATACCGTACACTTGTAACGTCCATGTGTTGTAATAAGCATCTAAATATTCACAAGCTGTAACGGTAGAAATGTTCACGAGAAAAGAGCTTTCATTATATCCATATATACCCAGACGATGCAACAAATGCATATCCACTGGCCTTATTTGAATTCCTTTAAAAATGAGCGTCGGGCATGTAACTATCGCGGATATAACAACCACTGCCAAAAGGATGTATCGTAACTTTTTGGAGTAGCCGAACTCTTGTGGTTGGCCACTGCAGATACACTTACACCGCTCAACAGCGACAACCAAGAGGACGAAACAGGACATAGCTAAAGAAGAGGACTGGATCCATTCAAATGTTTTACACGTGATGGTACTAAGTTGCGTGTAGTAGTTGTTGGCTTTATGAATCTCATATGGCACCAAAAACATACAGACAAATAAATCAACAAAAGCCAAGACTATGATCGCTGTCAAATCTGCGTTCTTCTTTTGTTTGGTTTTGCTGGACAAGGATACAGTAAGAACCAAGCTGTTACCAACAGTCCCTACCAAACAGATCAATGCTTGAAAGAACACATGAAATAAGCAGATTGTAGAGTAAGCCTCACTTACTTTTGTACTTAGTAGATGCGGATCACACTCTCCACAGTTTTTGTTCATTTTGTGAAAACCAAATTGTGTACAACGTCACATAATAATGTCTTACAATGTTGTGAAAACCTGAAATCGTGTACAACGTCACATAATAATGTCTTACAATGTTGTGAAACCTGAAATTGTGAAAAACGTCACAGAATGTTTTACAATGTAGTGAAAAATGAACTATACGTAAATTGTGTACAACGTCATATAATAATGTGTGTTTTTACAATGTTGCGAATATGGCGACCACATCCCTTCGGGTCTATCACCCTATTCATTATCTATTCTGTATAGGACGATGATGTGTTCATTTGCTGTGTTTCTGTCTCTGTTTTGTTGTGTAGATCTCCTGCATGGCCTATGGCATATTAAAAAAATGTAAGAATACAGAACTCTGCACTCACAATCCAAAAAACTAACGAATTTGTCCCATATAATTCTTTGTCAGAATAGGAATAATAATCAACTTGTTTAGCGTTTGGTGTTCCAGTTAATAACGTAAAATAACAGTTTTAAAAGAATAAAAAATTAAAATGTCAACATGTTCGGGGTTAAGATTCTTTTTAAAAAAGACCTTTTTTTATAAGAGGCCCACACGAAGGTTGCACACGGCCTAACAAACAAACAAACGCCCAAAACTGGAGACAAAAGATGAACACCACAGAAAAATCAAGGTCGTGGATCACAGAAGTCTTAAATCAAGTGAATAAACTAAAAATGGTCTATAATTCTATGCAGTTTTCTCAAACACTTTTTCATTTCTATTACATCTTGTGGGAATGTCCATCCCCAATTCCAGGAAATTTTAGTATTTTCAGCTATAATAAATCGCTTACTTCTCAATGATAACTTAACTCTCTGCTGCAAGTTGTCACATGATCATGGTGCCTCAGCTGTTATCTAATTTTACTGCAGGTATTTCAATAAGTCAAATAATTCAATGTAATCAGACATGAACCTCAAAAGAAAACTTTGTATCCATACAGCTATATACAGAAAATTTTCTGTCACAAAATGACTTATAGCAGCTCGGGACGGATTAGCTATCATTATTGTATTATTGGGGCCTTGAACTTAATAGATAAATTATACACTAATGTCTATATAAAATGGAATAGTGTGTAATCGTGTTCATGTTTTGATTGATTGATGTAAAGGTGGGGTCCTTTTTCTTTTCAAATATTGTATTGTTGTTGTGCTGTTTTCTATGGTATAGACAAGGAGTAGGGTCGCCTGTCCAACCTCGTGGGTTTTCTCCGGGTCCTCCCACTGCTAAAGACCCCTACTTGCAAGCGAATTATTGAAATAAAATTAAACCATATGTTAGTCCCGAAATGACCTAGTTTGTGTCGAGTGGACGTTAAACCCCATTTCTCTCTCTCTTTTCTATGGTATATTTATATATATATTTTATAATAATATATAGGTATTTATTATCTTATAGGGGGGTCACGGTGGCTAAGTGGGTAAGACGCGGGCTCGCTAGCCTGGAGGTCTGGTGTTCGATCCATGCATTGGCCGAGAAAGTTCATCCAGATTTTCCGGCGTGGTTCCCCCTTGTCAGTGATGCAGGACGGAGGGAGTGACAAGGACAGCTGTCTAGTCATTCGGATGGGATGAAAAACCGAGGTCCCGTGTACACATTGGCGTGCACGTAAAAGATCCCTTGACAGTTGGAATTCGATATAAGAGTAGGCCGTAGTGCCGCTGTCCGGGCAAAATTTCCCTCATAGCACACTGTATGGTGTATGCCCGTCTTCATTAGCCCAGTTCGGAGCAGAACAGTAGGACGTTAAACCCCATTTCATTTTATTTCATTTGTTTGTTTTGTTTATTAAATACGTTATGACGTAGGAAACTTGAATGTATTTCATGTATTAACGGGATCGTGCATTTGGTAGAGTCTATTAGCTTAATGCTATAACGGTGTACCTTGCTCATATTACATACATTGTATCATTATATTGGGTGAATAACAACCTATAATTCTTCTAAAAAGACATCCAGACTTGTAAGCGAGTTGTTAGGATCTTACAGGTCATTCGTCACAAAATTGACGATAAGGTATATAAGCTCTTAAATAATTCTCAATTATATTCTTAGATTTTGGTCTACAATTGGATAGATATCAGGTACGTACAGCAGGTCAAGATACGGCTCTAAAGTTTTGACCGACACGGTTCTACCTCGTACGCAGGTTAGTTTATTAACGTAATCTAACTAGTACGATACTTCTTAGTTAAAGATACATTATGTAAGATTTAGATAAAAAGCTGACCATCCTTGCTATAATAGCTCAAAATTAGATAATGTTAAATGAATAATTGAAAATTTCATTCAAATTACTCTATTGCGAGCGAAGATATTAGCCTTTGATGTTATCGGATGTGAATTTTACTGCTGTAAACGTACGTAGTTTTAGTGCAAACTTATTCTAGTACTCTGTCAGAAGTGTGAACAGTGCCAAAACCTTGTATAACTGTATGTGTCTGAAGGAATTATAAAATTATTAAAACTAACTTGGACTTTGTGAAATTATTCCGTGGAGCCAGAAACGAACCAACGAAAGAAATAAAGAAGGTAGTCTTAGCCACTAGACAAACAATCTAGCCAGAAGAACCAATGATTTTATACCGTTTTCACAACGGGCGCGCTAGAGGGTTTGAGAGACATCCATATCTAGTCCCTCGCAAGAGAGGCTAGAGACTCTGACACTTTAATCCAGGAAAGTAACCGACAAGGTTACAGGTGGATAATTCTTGTAGGCTGTAGCTATTTACTGTAGTTACCGCAAAAATCTATAAAAATTGAAATTAAATGGGCTAGTGAAGACAGTGTGCAAAGAGGGAAATTTTGCCCGAACAGCGGCGCTACTGCCAAGGGTTCTTTTACGTGCACGTCCATGTGTACATGGGACCTCTATAAATATCGGGCATGGTGTAAAATGAAATAGTAGATGATCATAGATTGGATATTGACCACAAATAACCTGTAGAATTAAATCATTTATATTTGCACCCAATACTACCAAGGAGCATACCCTCGCGGCCATCGGTTTTAAAGACCACTCCGCAAAATCAATTTTTGGCGGTTTTTTTCATGATTACCTCCAAAAGATTAATGATTCCGTCAGCAATTGTTCAGTTCCAGCAGCCATCCATTACACAATTACAGAAGGTTCATAAAATCGAGTTTGGTCTTTCTGGAATAACAATTAAAATGGCACGAAAAGCCTCGGGGTCTACACGAAGTTAAAACGGTCCAAAAAGTTATTGTTTGGCACTACATTCAACAATATACAGACATTTCTTCCAGGACTCCGGTTGTACGTGACAAGGAGTAGGGTCGCCTGTCCAACCTCGTGGGTTTTCTCCGGGTCCTCCGGTTTCCTCCCACTGCTAAAGACCCCTACGCGCAAGCGAATTATTGAAATAAAATTAAAACCATATGTTAGTCCCGAAATGACCTAGTTTGTGTCGAGTGGACGTTAAACCCCATTTCTCTCTCTCTTCCAGGACTTTGCGGAGAGGTTTGTTCATCGAGATACCTGTACGAGCTACAGAACTCACTAGTGACCAAACTGACTCCCATTTAAAAATACACTATGTAAGGTTTGGATAAAGAGCTTGCCATTTTCGCTATAACAGTTCGAAAATAGGTAATGTGAAATGAATATGTTGAAAATTTCATTCAAATTACTCTATTGTGAGCGAAGATATTAGCCTTAATAGGATTGACAAGACGTGTGCAATAATTTCAACCACCGTAGTTCGAAGCTAAGTCTCGCTCCTCCATTTTTAGTTTAAAGCAAAATATGGCTGAACTGTTCGAATCTATTTAATATCGGAGAAATGCGATGCCATCGAGTGTTGATTATGGCCTGGATAAGTCAATTTATGTCTAATTAATAATTTAGATAACATTTCAGGCCTAAAGAAGGACCTGCAATAGGCGGATTTAGCTCTTGCTTAATATTGCATGTTTAAGTGACGTATTCTCTCAACGTTATCAAAGTTAATACAGTATGTGTAATACTTGGTGAAGAATATTCTCTCAATGTACGGGAGTATAAGCATTAATTAATTTTTTTACGAAACAAAAAACATACATGTATACTTATGGAAATGGGGTCATCTACATCAAGAGGGTCACGGTGGCTAAGTGGGTAAGACGCTAGCTCGCTAGCCTGGAGGTCGGGTGTTCGATCCCTGCATTGGCCAAGAAAGTTTACCCAGATGTTCCGGCGTGGTTCCCCCTGTCAGTGATGCAGGACGGGGGGGCCTGCCAAGGACAGCTGTCTAGTCATTCGGATGAGACGAAAAATCGAGGTCCCGAGTACACATTGGCATGCACGTAAAAAATCCTTTGACAGTTGGAATTCGATATAAGAGTAGGTCGTAGCGCCGCTGCCCGAGCAAAATTTCCCTCATAGCACACTGTATGGCGTATGCCCGTCTTCATTAGCCCAGTTCGGATCAAAAAAAGTAGGACGTTAAACCCCATTTCATTTCATTTATCATCTACATCAAAGAATGAGATTCAGCTGAGTATTTTTAAATTCGAAATTATCATTGTTAACTTTGTTGTACAAGCTGACCTATTTTATTTTATTTTATTTATTTCATCTGTTGTAACCACTACCGGATCGGGGGGGGGGGGCAAAGTGGGACAAATGTCCAGAGCCCACACAATTCTAGGTCATACTAATATTTTATCCCGGACGGAGCCAACCAGTATCTGGGATGAGGGGTGTGGGTTGTGGCCCTGAGCAGTAAGGGATATTGGGGGCCCCGGGACTGGTAGGTACCAACAGATTTTCGGGGGCCCAGAGATCGGTTAGGCCCTAAAATTAACTAAATTACATAACGTAGAGGTTCTACCAATCAATAGGTCCTTAGGAGGCCTTGTGCTCTGGTGTGTTAAGTGTTCTTGTTAGAAGTTTCTTTTTAAAAGTCTTTACTGACATTCATTGCTAATCGGAGTTTAATGTTTTGTGTCACCTAAAATAATTTCACTAAAATAAAGTAAATGAAAACATCATAAGAGAAAGAGTCTGTTTAAAATATTCAAATTGTCAACGAATTCTAAACGTCAATGAAATCGCTGCCTAAATTGTCTTAGATGCACTGAAATTAATCCTAATTTTAAAAAAAAAAATCCTGGAGGAAAACACCCCAGGCACTCAAGGGGGCTGAGTACATACTAGTACGATCCGCGGTCAATACGAACAATTTGAACAAACAACAATGGGGCCCCCGCACAGTTGGTATGTCCCGGGGCCCCCACAAGGTTAATCCGGCACTGGTTGTAACATATTGGAAATGTCTTTCATTAATACATTTCTGAGTAATAGATACCCTGAATCAACGGATTAGCAACACTCTATTACGAAACCCCAACACGTCACGGGCATTGGAAGAAATGGTAACGTCCTACTTTGCTCATGTTCCTGGGGCAACGACCGCGAGTTTTACAACATCTGGTCTTTGCTAGACTGGTCTGCAATTCCCGAACATATATACGTTATCTCTCTTTAACGCAGACACGAGAACGACAGCGTCCAATCAGGGGTTGTGACACAAACACACTCACATCAACCAAAACACGGGTTATATAAGAACTCTGTCAGATCCTAGTGTAGTAAAGACAAGTAAAAGGAAATTTTGAACTATAAAAAACGAAACGAAATAGGAACTGTGTTTTAATGAGATTGGGATTCAATTGTAAATATGCTTGTTTGTTCCACTAGACGGGTAACTAAGATGACCAAAAAAAATCGGCAAGATTGATTAATGTTTATGTGGGAAATCACCATCTCAAAAATAGTCATCAATTTATGACTATATATATATATATATATAGAGAGAGAGGGGGGGGAGAGCGAGAGAGAGTGAGAGAGAGGGAAAGAGCGAGAGTTTAACGTCCACACGACACAGACTAGGTCAGTTCGGGACTAACATATGGTTATTAATTTTATTTCAATAATTCGCTTGTGCATAGGGGTCTTTAGACGTGGAAGGAAACCAGAGGACCCAGAGAAAATCCACGAGGTTGGACAGGCGACCCTACTCCTTGTCACGTACAACCGGGGATTCGAAACCACGCGAGTTGACGTAATGACACGCCTTATGATTAGGGCGCACACGTGCTAACCATTCGGCCATCCAACCCCCCAAATAATAGAGAAAATTATTGTATGGCTTGAGTAGAAATTATGTACAAATGACGAATGTAGAACGTTTCGGCCAATGGACATTTCGTCCTAGGACTTTTCGGCTTTTTTTTTTTTAAAGAAATAGGACGTTTTGGACAGATTTAGTTCTTCCATTTCTGTTACAGATGTTTTATCTGTTGCTGTGTATTTTTTTTTTTTGAGTGTGGGCGGGGGGGGGGGGGGCGGGTACTGCAAAAATAAGTAATCAAATATATTGTTATTTTCATTAAGCACTACATAATATTATTATTACAGCATATTTATAGTTCGTCCTTTCATATAACATGTTCAGGTGCGCTTTACAAAGTGCCAATGTAATCATAAATAAACTATAAGATTATGGACATGTTACCAATTGTATACAGAGTCATAGGATAACAGTTTTATAATAACATTCAAGCACTAAAGTTGAAGTTTGATAACTTGTATTTTTTTGCACATTACAGTTACACAATAAATATTACAAAACAAAGAGTCTTATAAATCACAAGCAAGTTTATAAGTATAAAATGTCTAAATGTCATCAGTCTGTTTCGCGAAATTTCAACTAAGATAAAAATCCAAATTTTAGTAATTTGATTGGATAATATTAGATTGATTTTAGTGCTTAGCCAATCAAAATTGAAGTATCTACTAAAATTTGGATTTTATCTTTAGTTAAAATTTCGTGAAACAGGGCGCTGGTTGATACCGTTGATCATCTAATGTTGCTTGGTGCATATTCCATTTTTCGGGTGGGAACGAAGATGGTGTGAGACAGATTCTGATTGGTGCTACATTTTCTTGATCTTCTTAAAATGAATACTATTGTCTAGCAAAATATAGTATGCATAGCTATTATTCTTTTATCAATAAGCAGGTGCGCGCTGTTTTATAAGGTCTGTCAACGGGCGTGGTTTCGGTTCCCCGGTTGTACATGACATGGAGTAGGGTCGCCTGTCCAGTCCCGTGGGTTTTCCCCGTGACAGTGTACTAACATTTTTGCAGAACTGTACTCATCTCGATGGGCTAGTACTGGGTATGGTTCAACTTACATACATGTACAATGTTAATAATTTAGCGGCAGTGCTTTAAACGTAGATCTTTACTGGGATCTGTGTCTCGTTTTAATGGGAGGGTTGGGTGGCCGAATGGCTAGCACGTGCGCGCTGTATTATAAGGCCTGTCATTGGGTTAACTGACGTGGTTTCGATTCCCTAGTTCTTCGTGACAAGGAGTAGAGTCGCCTGTCCAACCTCGTGGGTTTACTCCGGGTCCTCCGGTTTCCTCCGAATGCTAAAGACCCCTACGCGCAAGCGAATTTTTGAAATAAAATTGAACCATGTGTTAGTCCCGAAATGACCTGTGTCGAGTGGACCCCCCTCCTCTCTCTCTCTCTCTCTCTCTCCCTCTCTCTCTCCCCCTCTCTCTCACACACCCTTATCAATATACGATAAGACCTGATAAAATCACCGCGATTACCCCCCGATTAAAACCACGATGTCAATAGTAGCGCGAATCGTGATAGTGGCAACCTAGCATTACATGACAAAGTTCTATATGACATAAGAAACGGTGTCAGTCGTTCGGGTTGAACGCGAAAAGGATTTCACGTGTACACGTTGTCATGCACGTAAAAGAAACGTTGCCACTTGGGATTCAATGAACAGTAGATGGAAATGCGGCAAAAAATTTCACCACAGCACACTGCGTATGAAGTGAGACGTCATTTGTGTTAATCCCCAATCATTTCAAGTTCATCCAGACTTTCCGGTGTGGTTCTCCCTTGTCAGTGATGCAGGACGGAGGGCCTGACAAGGAAAGTTATCTAGTCTTTCGGATGGGACGAAAAACCGAGGTCCCATGTACACGTTGGCGTGCACGTAAAAGATCCCTTGATAGTTGGAATTCGATATAAGAGTAGGCGGTAGTGCCGTTGTCCGAGCAAAATGTCCCTCAAAGCACACTGTATGGGGTATGCCCGTCTTCATTAGCCCAGTTCGGAGCAGAACAGTAGGACATTAAACCCCCATTTCATTTCATTTCATATATCGCGGCATTCGGGATTGCTAAAAACGGAGACTACCGAATGGCGGCCGTCGGAAATAAGCGAAGAGCAACGAACTAACGGAAGTAGTTTATTGACAGGTGGGGAACGAAAGGCAAAGTAAAAATTGAAAGAGTGATTTCTTCTGCAGCAGCAAGATTTCGATAGGATTATCGCAGCCTTTGGTGAACTAAATATTATAACTTGCGGTGTTATTCATGCTCGAAAACAAGCAGCGAGAGCGGTGCCCGGAACAGCCGAACATGCAGGAGAAACAGTAATTAAAGGGAGTGACCGTAAAAATACATGAACTAATCTCGTTCACGCTGTCATCCACTCACTCGTTCGTGCAGACAGTTCCGTGAAGTGCTAAATTAAAGTAGGATATAACAACTAATTTCGCTTCCTTACTGTTCGCTTTGATTCATACGTGAAGCTTGTATATATGTGTACCTGTAGCTAGAATGCAGAATCAGATGCACTAAAATGTCGGCAAGTTTTCTCCATATCGGTGACATTGTGTCACTGTATGCAGAGGGTAGTGTGAATGGATTTATCTCAACACTCGGGTGAGTATTTATGACACCGTATTTCCGTTACAAAACAGTGTTTAATAAGGGTGTGGTGGAGGTATTCTATACCTTACCGCTATTGTTAATAATGTTACATGTACATGTAAATATCTATGTCAACAATTTAGACAGAACTTTTGCTCCACTGACCTACATGTAGTTATTATGTATTTAATATTGAACATTAACATGATTATTGATTTTTCTAATTTAAAGGGGCATGAGTTTAAGATGAATAACACTTTGGAGATTTCCCTAAATAATTCACCGTCTAATTTTCGTTGACAAATCTGCGCACACGGAATGAACTTTGTGAAGGGTATTATTTAATGGATTACCACACTGATAATCCGCCCTGTCATTAAATATTTCATCTGTTGATCTGTACATATTTAAATATTTCACTACTGTCTGATTCATCGTAAATTTTAAACGGATTTCTTCGATTATGAACAAACTACTTAACGTTGGTTATTATAAACTTACCTGTGTGTTTGTAATGAACTCCCGTTCGATAAAATCCATTGCACAACTAATTATCACAACGATGAAAACAAGTTCTCTCTTGAAAAATTGAAATATCACAAACTTTTCCCAGAGAAAAATACCAATATGGAAGATGGTTACGTCACTCTGCGGAAGATATCATTTCGTATTAGGGGTGACAGCATAGGAAATTCAAGTACAATTACGACAAGAATCCATGACCACTCGGTTTAAGACCAGTCGGACCAACTGATAGACCACTCATCCCAAACAAATAGACTACTCGGACCATACAAAAAGACTATTCGGACCCAACAGAAAGACGACTCGGACCAATAATAAAACGTTGTTTTAATAAATTGATAATTGCGTTTGTTTTAATATAATTACTCGAACCAATAATAAAGTGTTATTTTAATAAATTGATAATTGTGTTTATTTTAATATGACTACTCGAACCAATAATAAAGTGTTATTTGAATAAATTGATAATTGTGTGTGTTTTAATATGACTACTCGAACTAATAATAACGTGTTGTTTGAATAAATTGATAATTGTATTCCAAATCGCAAAATATCGAGAACCACACTTGTAGTCACGTTTAAAAAGGGGCATATAAACGTCCGGTCTTCGTATTATTATGTGCTGTTTATATTAACGCATCAAGGGTGGATAACTTGAAAACGTGTCTCCACCCTCCCCCCCCCCCCCATATATAGTAACCCAGGGGTTAGTGGGGTAGAACGGAATGAAACCACTGGGGATACCGCGAATGTGGAAAAAGTAAAATTAGGCTATCAGACAAGAACAGTATACCCGTATATGTGGAAACTGTCAAAAGTCTGGACATACCGAGTCTCATTGCAAGAGTAAAGAAAAATTAGATTGATATTTTTTTTTGGCACAATTATTAATTAATTTTAAAACTAATCGTTGATTTATTTTCCGTACACAAAATTGAACCAAACAACTCTAAATATAAGAATTCCGTATAAGAATTATTTGCTTCTTTGTATTGTGATTTAATAATAAATAAATAGCATATTGTCTAGCCTTATAATATAATTTAATTGGTCCGACTGGTCTTGTTTTGGTCCGACTGGTCTTAGTCCGAGTAGTCTTTGGTCCGAGTGGTCTGGATACCTACGACAATTGGCATTGAGTTTGAGCGTTCGCACACATAACTACCCGCATTCCTGTATTTAGTTACCGTCTAGTAAAATCTCTGCAAATTTTATAGCTTTACTTTTTGAAATATTTTGTTCTAATTATTTGATTAGCGACTCGGATGGGATTATTTACTTTTGAACACGCATGCCGCACAAACACAACTATACATTCGTTTTACGGGCTTTATCACACTTCGGTCAAAACTGTCGGGCTTAGTAGCATTATATACCCACCCGGGCACCCAATACGGCAATAGACACGCTGAGGGCTGCCACAACACGCTTAAAGATGTTACTGAAGCGGTTATTATTCGATCGAAAGAATGCGTATAAAATTAAAAATACACTCAGAGAATTCGGAGGTAAGCTTCATGATCCTTGTTAAATTATTTATAACATAAAGAAGATAGGATATTTATAGTTTATTCATGACTTTATTTTTACGAGTATCCGTGCAATCAGTGATATTTTAATTGTGAAGAAAATTTGATAGACTGGCGATCAATGGTTTCCATATAAATCTCCTATGTAATTGCCTTCAATTGATATTTTTCGTCGCCCAAACCCATATACGATCAAAATGATCGCGCTGTCAAACTATCTTTCAATGTTAACCAACCCCCGCAACAGGTATATTGGATTCGACCATTACGTCACGAAGACATTGTTGACATCGACTCTGTCGAAATTACAAGTAAATTTTCAAATTTTTCAAGAGAGAAATTGTTCTCATCGTTGTGATAATTAGTTGTGCAATGGATTTTATCGAACGGGAGTTCATTACAAACACACAGGTAAGTTTATAATAACCAAAGTTAAGTAGTTTGTTCATAATCGAAGAAATCCGTTTAAAATTTACGATGAATCAGACAGTAATCCATTTAATTTTTCGCTAATCACCTTGTGAATATTTTATTTTGTATATATAACATGTATTATATAATCGTCTGCGATATCACTTACTCACTTAGGTGGAAGCGGACGTTAAATAAATCGGCACAGTACGTTGATCAGGCTACTTAGGGTTAGGGTTAGAAGTCAAAAGTAGCCGGGTCAACGTACTAGGCCAATAAATCTATTTCACACACTAATAATCCGCCTAATCCAACTCGGTATTCACCATGGATTACTGCGTTATTTTTTTTTTTTTTTTAATGGATTTTGTGACTGTCAGTTTACTGGTATAAGTGATGCGAAAAGAAAGGTATGATCGCATATGTTGATTACCTTAAAAAGCAAGAAGATTCTATTTTTCATTGCTATCATGCCACTGCCTGAAACAACCATCGATTTCATCAAAATCTTTAAAGGGTATATTTCTGTGGAGTTGCATACAATATTATATTTTAGTGGGAACAGACCCAAATTTTGCTGCGTCACAGCCCGACAGCCCTTTGAGAAAAAATTTGGCCCACACAATAGTCTACACATGTACCTGAGGATTTGTGTCCATGCGACCAGAATTCAGAAACACGTACATTTACCTATTTCAACTATTGAAAACTAACACTGTTCAAAGTTTACGCCTTACGGTACTGCTATGAAAGAAAATATTTTGGGACATTCAGTCATGTGATCAACTGACGTATAGCGAAGATAATCTGCGGACTCAAACTTAAATCTTATTCTAAGCACACATGCTAATTGTGCAGTGATATTGAAAATTATTTGAAAAATCATTCCAGTCGATAGAGTACAGATCCTACATCGGGCGTGTAGCATCCTACTTTGATCCTTATAAACATCGAGGAAAAATCAGCACAAAGTTGACAATTTGCGCACCAGCTTGATAATATGCACAGATTATAATCTGCACGGACAAAGTGGAATCTGCTCTACACGGCAGCGCAGATTGCAATCTATGCGAAGGCCGTCCTCGGTATCTCCAGTAGTCTCATCCTGTTCTACCCCACTATGCCCTGGGTTGATCCGTGGGGGTGGAGGGTGGATGGCTGAATGGTTAGCATGCACACTGTATCATAAAGTCTGTCATTGAGTCAACTGGCGTGGTTTCGATTCCCTGATTGTACGTGACAAGGAATTGGGTCGCCTGTCCAACCTCGTGGATTTTCTCTGGGTCCTCCGGTTTCCTCCCACTGCTAAAGACCCCTATGCGCAAGCAGGTTATGGAAATAAAATTGAAATATATTTTAGTCCCGAAATGGCATAGTTTGTGTCGAGTGGACATTAAACCCCATTGCTCGGATAAACTTGAAAGAAAAACAGCTTCAGACTTTGAAATATTTGTATGATAAACATTCTTCAAAGGCATCGTCATGTGCAACGCCATTGGTAATCCGGGAACTTGAAAGTAGTTCCAATGGCAGACTTCGTCGTACAGCCGAGACTAGATGTGTACGGTACTGGAATCTGCTGAGGTTTGCCGAGTGGTATAGATATCCAATGTATGCTACTCTACACGGCTTCATACAGTCATAACCTGAATAAAAGTTTCATTCATTACATGGATCTATTTTTGAACTATTTATAGCAAGATTGACCATCTCTAGATCTGATTCTTACATAATTCATCTAATCAGTTCATCTATTTTCAACCATTGGGTGATTCAGAGATTTTATTTAAGATATGCAGCCTGGATTTAGATGTGTGGTGTGCCGTGTGAATTTTATAAGTGAATTTTATAAAATCAGAAGATCTGAGACAATATTTCTACTCATTTAGATCAATGTATATCTTGAGAACAGATTGCCCCTCGCGGACAGATTGCCCCTCACGGACAGATTACCCCTCGCGGACAGATTACCCCTGTGCATGCTCAAATCTCTGTCTAATTTCCGTTGACTAATCTGCGAAGATATGAGATACTGTGGACTTGAATTTGATTCTTATTCTTAGTACACACCCTAATTATGGAGTGATTTTGAAATTTATTTGAAAAATCATAATTACAGTACAAAATCAATAGAGGACAGATCCTACATCTGACGTCCGACGCACTGCTTTCATCTTTAAAAACATCCAGGAGTAATCTGCGCAAAGTTGACAATCTCCGCACCAGTTTGATATGAGCAGGGTCCAATCTGCGTGGACTCTATGCAACAAGGTAGTGCAGATTTCAGTCTGCCCGAGTGCGGCCATTGGAGTGAGGCCAAAACAGGAGGAATCCTCCGCACATCTGATTGACATTAATTTGCTGACTGTAGGAGAAACATAAGCTCTTCAAAAGCAGGGGCGGATCCCCCCCTCCCACCCCCGGACACACACCTTTCACGAAATTTTAACTAAGATAAAATCCAAATTTTAGTAATTTGATTGGATAATATTAGATTGATTATACATGTAGTGCTTAGCCAATCAAAATTGAAGTATCTACTAAAAT